CCAGAGCAGTGATCTCATCCCGTGCTGCGTGCTGGTCGGTCAATGACCAACTGGGTGGTTGGATTTGGCTCCTGTGGAGAAATACCAGGCAAACTGGATCATCAGGAATGTGAAGGGCATCCCTCACGTGGCACAGTGAAACCACCAGGAATTTCCCAGTAACCCTGCGCAGGGCAGCTGTAGAGAAAGTCTGTGCGTCACCTGCACCGCGTACCTTCACAGCGCCGTTCTGGCACCTTCTTGTCAGCGGGATGTTACGTGTAGCTTTTATGGTGGTGTTTGCATGCTGAATGCTGTTTTCTTGGAGGAAACTGCATTGAGAAATGGGTGAAGAAGTAATAATAATAATCATCATCATCATCTGCATAAGGCCCTGTTGTTTAAGCCCACAGCCGCGCTCCTCCCGCAGACAAACGCAGAGATGAGAGCGTGGCTTTCCCGAGCAGCGTGTTCCAATGGCTTTGCTAACCCGCTCGTCTGCCTGAGCTTTCCTCGGGACGTCGCTGCCCTGGGATGGGGCCGGGAGAGCTCCAGCTCTACCGGAGCTGGTGCGGGGCCATGCACTCGAGCGTGATGCAGTTCTGGTTGTGGAAGCCTTTTCAGGAGTGGTTCGAGGGACCAGCACGTTATGAAGAGATTGCTGACAGCTCCCGCTGTGCTCCAGGAGCGCTTCCAGGGTGCAGCGGTCTCCATTCCACCAGCTTCCCGGGTCTGGGCAGCGGGTTAGCTTTAACAGGGGAACCCCAGAGGTCTCAGCTTGTGAAATAATCGGCATGAATCCAAAGGGAATACCCCATGGCAAGGAATCTTCTTTGGTTACACCATCTGCTCTGGTGTGTGCATTTCCAGGGTGCCATGGGGTGCATCAAGAGGAGTGTGGCCAGCAGGTCGAGGGACGTTCTCCTTCCCCTCTGCTCTGCCCTAGTGAGGCCCCACCTGCAGTACTATGTCCAGTTCTGGGCTCCCCAGTTCAAGAAAGATGAGGAGCTACTGGAGAGAGTCCAGCAGAGGGCTATGAGGATGAGGAGGGGACTGGAGCATCTCTCCTACGAGGAGAGGCTGAGGGAGCTGGGCTTGTTCAGCCTGGAGAAGAGAAGGCTGAGAGGGGACCTTAGAAATGCCTCTAAATATCTGCAGGGTGGGGGTCAGGAGGACGGGGCCAGACTCTTTCCAGTGGTGCCCAGCGACAGGACAAGGGGCAACGGGCACAAACTGAAGCAGAGGAAGCTCCAGATGGACATGAGGAAGAACTTCTTCCCTCTGAGGGTGACAGAGCCCTGGCCCAGGCTGCCCAGGGAGGCTGTGGAGTCTCCTTCTCTGGAGATATTCCAGACCCCCCTGGATGCGGTGCTGTGCAGCCTGCTCTGGGTGACCCTGCTTGGGCAGGGAGTTGGGCTGGGTGACCCACAGAGTTCCCTTCCAACTCACACCATTCTGTGATTCTGTGAAAGAATGGGGAGGCATAAATAACTAGTGAACTGTAATTCCATATAGCATCATATCTGTATTAATTGTATTAATATATCCTTAGATTGCAGAAGCAACGAAAAGCCTTGGATGAGATCAGGGACCCCTTGTGCCAGCTGCTGCATGGGTGCCTGACAGCACAGACCCTGCCTGGCCAAACAGCAGACGATAGCTGGGAGTGGCAGGAAATATTACTGGGCTTCTCTGCAAATAAGAAGCTGCTTTACAGGGAAAATGAGACACAGTTTAGCAAACGCTTAAGGATTGACTTACTTTTAAGAATATTTTTTAATCCTGTTGAAATTGAGAGGATTACTTCTCCTTAAACGCGTGCTGAAGCACTGCTCTGGCTGGGCGCTGGCAGGCTGGAGCACAGGAGCTGTGAGAGGAGCTGGGGTTGCACTGGCGTTTCTTGCTCTTGGCTACTGCCTGAGCAGGAGTTGTTGTTGGAGAACTACTCCCTGGTACGGGGCAGTTACTATTCCAGCTCATTTTTGGAGACACCAAGCTTCGCGGAGGCTGTTTGTACCCGATCCCTCAAAGTGGGTCGCGTTGTTTACGTACCTGAGCGTCGGTTTGGGAGCCTGAGCGTAGGCAAGCGCGGCTCGTCGCTGGAACCGGGTCCCGGGCTTTGATGTGCCAGGATGTTCAGCGCTTGGGGCTTTTCATAAAAGAACAAAGCAAAAATTGTTGGCGTAGAGAACAGTGCGCTTTTCTCTTAAATTTCCCTGGAAGTCAAACCCTGCGGTATAACCGTCTGATTCATAAACTGATTTCTTACTTCAGAAGTCTAATAATAGACCGCAGAAGAGACTCATTCAATCAGTCTAGGACTTTCCTTGGACTACTTAAAGCCCTGTGGAGCGGGACCGGGGGTGCCTGCGGGCTCTCCAGCCTCGGCGTTTGCAGGTACCACTCGCCGGCAGCGATGCTCTGCGCTGCGGCTCTGCCTTGACAAGCCCTGGAGCCTTTCATGGACACTAATGAACTCAGTCCCACCTCCTCTCCCAAACTGGGAAGAATTTTAGAGGTGGGAGACTGCGGCACAGAGCTATTTAATAACATGCCCAGAGTAGTTTTTAGGTTGCTGACAGTTTTGGGTGTAAGAGCTGATTTCCTTGACCCCCAGTTATATTTTAACCTGCTTTCTCCTGTTGCTGCTCGTGTCATTTCTAAAGGCAAAGCCAACCTTATTTAAAAATAGAGATTGGAATGACAGCGTGCACTTCAGAGCGCTGGGAGGGACATGGTTCGCGTGGTGCTGGCAGGCAGGGCTGCCGTCTCCTTCCGAGGGGGCTCAGCCCCTTTGGGTTTCTCCGGAGCAGGTTTGCTCGTGGAAGCCTGCCGTTACCAGAAGCCATGTCTTTGCTTGACGTTCCTCAAAGCCAGAGCAAACGAGAGACCGGCCAGAGGTGGGGGTGTGAGGGGGACTCAGCGAGCCAGGCTAGCTTAACACCTCCCGAAATGGAGGTGGGAATGTCGCCGGCTGGCACTGGGAGCTTGCTGGCAGGAGAGCACGTGGCTGAAGCGCCTTCTCCAGAAGCAACCAACCTTAGTCCGTGCTGCTTTTTTGTTAGATTATACTAAAATAAGGAACTTCAGTGCTCTGACATTCATGGCACTGAATTTCTGGTTGAGAAAGTTTACAGTTTCTCCCCTAGTTGCATGGTAATTATGGTCTGTGATCAGTGGCTCCAGGACATCCCTGTAAAACGAGGCGTGCCAGGGCTGGTGGACTGGTGGCTATCCAGATGGGCTCTCGAGAGTGAGAAATAGGCCAAAATATGCTTGTGACAGCAGTAGCAAAAGTAATACTTTATCTAATTTTAAAAATTCCTTATCTATGTCTTCTGCTTAGAGAGATCTGTGTCTGGGGCAAGACCTTAAAAAAAAAAAGACTGGAAGGATGGTTTGGTAATGCCCTTTTTGGCTAGAGGCATTGCGCGGGGGCAATAAAGCATCCGAGGTGCGAGGAAAATTCCCTCGTGCTCTGGAGCTCCTTTCTGCCTTGAACTCCTGTGAGTGACATTTTATATCCATGAGGAACTTGGCCAAGTTTTCGCATTCCCAGAGTCTTGCTGGCCTTGCTGAATAATTCAGCATCTGTGTTCCTCGCGTGGAAGTCAGCTGCTGAATGCCAAACTCTGGCAGCTCCTTTGTTGCTGCCCCGGCTTCGGGTCCGTGTGTGGGGTACCAGTGGCCAACAGCTGGGCTCAAATTCATGGTAATGGTAAAAGAAAAGAAAAAATGAGAGGGATGAAGGAGTCAAAAGTGTGGAAGAGAAGGTGGAGTTCGGAGCAGGATCTGCCGCAGCAGGAGCTCAGGCTCCAGGGCAGTCCTGGGGAGCTGCGCGTGTGCATCCCCCCCAAGCGAGCCGGGCTCTTGCCTGTGCCTCTTGCAGAGGGAAGGATGTGCAAGAGGATCCTCAGGGCAACTCTGAGTGACATTCTGGGATAATCCTGCGGGAGGGAGAGAGGCTGCAAGTACCAACAGCCGTCCCAGGAGGGAAGTCAGGCAACGCTTGGGGCACACGCTCCCGCGGGTGACTGATGTGAAGGTGGCTCAGCGGAGGGACACGCTGTCCCCAAAGACAGCAACGCTACTGGGTGTCTCCTGGCTGGGTTTGGGTGCAGGCAGCAGCTCCGGGCAGCAGCAGCCCCCATGGTGTTCGGGTTTGTGCGCCTGGAGGAGAGCCCGGGGCTGGGGGCCCTGGGCAGCAGGGACCGCTCAAAAAGTGCTTTATCTGTGTCCTGGACACGGGTGTCTCTATTCATTCCAGTGGAGGGGAAACCAGTCCAAAAATAATAGGTTTGTTTTGTCAATCTGGCTTTGAAATGATGAATATCAGCAAGAGTAAAACATGGTTTATATCTTTAAGGGACTAAAACCGTTCTTTGTCTTCATTGAAAATTCTGCGTAGCAATTAAAACTTCCATCAAAAATGGGAGTTTTCAGAAAAAGCTGGTGGCTTTACTGTTCCTGATTGCGATGCTGATGAAAATATTTCCTTGTTGAATCACTTCTGGCTGTTTTCCGCCAGAAAAGGGCGGTGATCTGCACTCACCTCTGACAAACTGGTGATGGATCTTTATAGAAATGCAAGAAGTCAAAACAATTCGGTCTTGGCAAGTTTGCCTTAGTAAGATCATTTGGTGTGGGGAGAGACGAAAGGAAAGATAAGGAGGGTTTTTCCAGTGGGCCTTAGTGTTGTATAAAACCTGTTGGAGCAGGTCTGGGTGTATTATGTGAGCAGCGGGATGGAGTTTCCTCAGATGACGCTGTTGAATGGGGACCTTTGTAGCTGAGCGTTAAATGTCTTTAATTGCTCGGTGGTAGGACCAAAAGCAGTGCTTGCACTGGTAGTGTCCTCCAGGATGCTGATGGTGACAAACCGGGATGCTGATGGGGGGACTGGAGCACATCCATTTCACTGGGTTTTCAGGTCCAAATATCAGGCTGTGGGTCCTTGAGTTCCCACCAAACCTTCCTCTGTCTTTAGTAAGCGCACCAGCATCTTTTTCTCTCGTTTCCAGGTGATCTCTGCAGTATCCAGACTCTCCTTCCACAGTATTGCTCAAACCAAAGGAATTAGGTAAGATCCTTTCAATGTGATGCTTTACATAATGTGTCTCTCTCTCCCTATCCATGTTCCTAGTGTTTAATCACATCGGACTCTTTAGAAGCTACACATACTAAACGACATCAGGGCTGCCTTTGGGATGTAGGTAGGGTACTTGTAAAAACACCTTACAGGCTGCTCAGGAATGGTTTACAGATAAAGTAAGTGAAAATGTCACGAGCAAGGCCCCAGCGCCGTCTCACCCTGCAGAAGTGCCCTGGTGGCCTGTCAGTCACTAATGGCCAGGAAATTTCTTCCCGGCTTTGACCGAGGCACATCATGGCTGAGTGGGTGGTGGGGGTTCATGAGTAACCTGGCCCCGGCGCCCGGGGTGGGCTGCCCGGCTGCTGGGGCTGCTCCTCCTCTGCTCGTTGAAGGAGCAGTGGAGAAGGAATTAAAACCAGCAGACAACCGTATTATGCAGAGCTGTTATCCTGGTCTTTGTTCAATTCCCTGCAAAATTAGTTTGCAATTGGTTTTGTTGTTAGTGTGCGTTTGTGTTATTAATCTGGCAACAGCATCTCATTAGGACCACAGATATAACTGGAAAGAGTTCTTAGGCTAAAGTACCTTTCCTCCATTTTGGGGGGATTTTTTGGGTTGTGTTTGTTTTCCCCCAGCTGTAGAACACGTTTGCTTTTCTCTGCAGAACGTGTCTCGCTGCTGTTCTGCTCGGGGTGTATCATGGCCCTGTTCAGCAGCTGCATTGCGGGGCCAGGCACAGCCAGGGTGTGGGGATGGGGGCTGGATGGGGCCCTGGCACTGGTTCTAGCCCTGCTGTCCCTGCCCACCACCCCATGCCAAGATTTTCACTGTTTGAACTTATTTTCACTGCCGTAACTGCACTGATATTGCTGGGGGGGGGACGTGGAAAACAAACTCCGCGCCCTCCCATCTGCTGAACAGGAATCTGACAAATCCCACCAGGATTGAGGGGAGATTTGGGGGGTGAAGGTTTATGAAGCACACGGAGGAATAAAGATGTGCTGTAAGTTAGGAACAATTTATTATTCAGGATAACCCTGAGTCCTGGAGGAGCCTGCAGTGATGATTATTTTAAGGGAAAAGAGCATCCGAGGCGTTCGGAGGCAGGGAGTAACGCGGGAACCCCCGTGCGCAAGCGGCAGGGCTGGGTTTAAGTCTCGGGGCATCGCCGGAGGAGGTTGCAAAGTGTCCCCCCAGCAGAGCCCTGTCCTAGGCAGGGAGGTCCCGCTGTCAGTGCAGAGGGTGAGCAAGCTGGCCGTCCCCGGGGAAGGCTGTGCCTGAATCACTGTTGTTTCTGAGGTCTCCTGCTGCCAGGACTGGGCAGGCTGGGTGATAGTTGGGAGCCAGGAGCAGGGAGGCTTTGCTATTCTTGTGGGTATGTGGCTTTTTCTCGTTCATTTTACAACCAGCATTTACGATTCCCACTAAAATCCCTTATCTTGGGAGCCTTTGGCACCATAATTTCACAAGAATAGCTCAGAGCTTAGTGGGTCTTTGCTTCGAACTCCGTTTTGCTTCTATCAACGCTGCTCCTCCTCCGCATTGTCAGCCCTGCAAGAACAGAAAGCACCGTCACTCCTGTTAGCTGGAAAATACCCCCCAGAGGTGTCCCTTCCCATCACCGCTGTCCTCTGCAGGCAAAGAGCTCTCGCTTTGTCCATTGCTGCATGTTTTTTTTCCTTTTAATTAGATGATTTCTTGCTACACCATCATCAAAGCATCAGTCACAGAAACTAATCTCAGATGAATGAATTTGATCTGTGGGAACCAGGAGCAGCTCTGGCTCCCTGAAGGGTCTGGCCACGTCGGCCACCGCTGCCCCTCAGCTCACTGGGGTCCCTACCCTTCCCTGCACCAGTGAAGATGCTGCTATTGAAATAAGTGGGAGAAGTCTTTTTGGCTTAAGCAAGTGCTCACAAACATGGTAAATATGGTGCAATATAGGATGGTTTATGGATTGTGTGGCCTTCAGCCCCATAGCATGAATGTGGCTCTGCTCCAGCCCCTATTTTGGGGTCTAAGAGTCAGGATCATGCAAATTAAGAATGAAGTAAATTCCAAAGCCTATTACTTGTCCTTAGAGAAGTTTCATGGCATTGAGGGTAGAAAAATAAAAATCAATCTTGTATGCTATTCAGTGGAAAAAAATAGTCTTTCTGTCTAATAATTTCTGGATACATGAACCTTGCCAGAGAAACCCTGTTTCACAGAGTAAATCAGATAGCTATCAGGGTAGATATGTTGAGATGACAGAGCGTTTCTTCTAAGGAACAAGCTACAAGCAGCAAAACATGGCAAAAAAAATGGTCTTGAATGCAATGTTTTGTTTGCAGCAGGCGGCTGAGGCTGCGCTTAATCTATGGCAGCTGTAGCTACAGCCCGGGCTGCGCCTGTGCTCCTCCTGCTCGGCTCAGGCCCTGGTTGCAGGTTTCAGAAGTCCTGCAGAAAACAGGGTCACCCTCCAGCACGGTGCATCGCCGGCTTCCCCCCTAGCAGGTGATGGTCTCTAACGGCTGCAAAAAGAGATTTCTGTCTTGCATGAGGCTCTTGCTGCAAACAGCACGGACGGTGTTTCCCCACTAATTAAAGAATCACAGAATCACAGAATGGTGGGGGTTGGAAGGGACCTCTGTGGGTCACCCAGTCCAACCCCCCCGCCAAACAAGGCTAAGCCAGACAACA